ACACAGAGTGACATTTTGTCAGGAACACCAAATTTGAAAGTTTTTTTTTGAGGAGAGTTATTGTTAAATAAAGCCTGTCAACCTGTGCTGTCAATAGGGTTGGACTGTAGAGTGTCACTAACTGATTGGGTATGTTTAAGGGAAAGCTGGAATCCTAGAAAAGTCCTGCATGTTGTGGGTAATGGAAATTTCCAACAGACAGTGTGTCCGGCCTGACTCAGTGGTTGGTCTCTCGCCGCTGGGTCAGAAGGTTGCTGGTTCAAGCCGTAGTTTGGGACATTGTCTCAACTGACTTTCCAATGCAGTGCTGGGGCAGTGTTGCACTGTCGAAGGTGCCGTCCTTTGGATGAAAAGTTAAACTGAGGTCCCGGCTGCTTGTTCAGTTGGAAGATAAAGATTGCATGGCACTAAACTACTTCCAATGTGGGGCATGAACCCACAACCTACTGGCTCAGAGGTGAGGCTGCTAAAACTGAGCCACACTGACAGACGTACACTTTATTGTCTTTCAGATTAAACTTCAGGACATGAGTAAGGAATGTTGTCCACAGCTGATGATGGATATTTCACTGTTTATCTACAGATTTGTGCTCAAGAGGAATATTTGAACTTTGGGCTTCGAGAGAAACAGATCTGAGTTCAACTCCACTCAACATGTTAAAAAGACAACTTACTCACAGGATAACAGGGAGCTCACATGATTTACCTGCAGATTCAGACAATCAGTGGAGTCCTGTAGCTCAGTGGTTAGAGCACTCGCTTTGCAAGCGAGAGACCTGAGTTCAATTCCAGGCAGAGGGCGAAACCTTGGGCAAATTTCCTTACTCCACACAGAGCCTAATAATAATCCCTCCAAAACAATACAATAATAAATTGGTCACTTTCAATCTACGACTGTATGTGGGAAATTGCTGTGCGCAATTCGCTGCCGCGTTCGCCCACAAATAAACAGCTAATTCACTTTACAATATGTTCTGTGAAGCGCTTTGGGACGTCCTCCCGACGTGAAAAGCGCCAGATCAAATGCAAGGATTATTATTATTATAATCAGATGTTACCCACATGAGAACCAAACACAATATCAGAGGCATAGACCATCTGGAAAAATTCAACATTCAGTAGTATTTATCTTGATGTTGAATATCCTGTTATTGAGTGTAGCCTCAGAGAATCAGTCAAACTTTGTAACAAAAGTCGATTTAAAATTAACACTGGATAAGGAGAAACATTATACCATAGTGTCATGTCTGAACTTTCAATGTTCATATACTTACAGAATTTCAGATCGTGTAAAATTATCATATTGCAAGCAGTGACAGGATTATATGTGATTCCAAGAAAAAAAAGAGTTTGTTTGAGTCAATTAATGAGAAGTTCATTTTTGTCCACAATAAAGTCACAGGCTGTTTGTCCCTGTGTGTGTGCACACGGGTGCCCCCTGTCCTGCCCCAGTGTATCGGCCGCCTGCAGTCACCCGCCGTTCCACACCATTGGAAACCGCACCAAATTCACTCAGATAAAGAAAGGAGTAAATGAGATCCTTCTTCGGATTAAGATTAAATCGGTTTCATTAAAGTGATTGATGTGCTCATGATTATCATTTTAATTGTGTGCATCACCAGGAGGCTTTCTAAGGAATGAATGTAACCTTCAACCGTGTGAAAGTGGGTCAGAGCCTCTGTCGCTTGGGGGGAAGCTGCCAAAGAGGTATCAAAGAGCAGGAAATGGGAAGACACTGTGTGGTGTTGTAACACGGTAGAAAATAATAATAATAATAAGAATAATCCTTGCATTTGATATATCGCCTCATCATATCTTTGACACGACTCAAATCGCTTCACAGAGTACACTGTAAAGCCACTTGACTGCATTTATTTGGTGAGGGAATCGCAGCAGTCAATTTCACACAGCAGTGTTCAACAAACAGTCTGGATTGAGGGACCAAATTCTTCTTTCCTTTTATTGACGGGATTATTACCACCGGAAAAGCGATGCGCCAATCGACTAACAAGCGGGTGCCTAGTTACTGCTCGGTAAACAGAGGCGGGAAGGGTAAGGAAATTTTGCTAACATTTGGCCCCGTCCGGAAACCCTGGCCCAGGTCCTCGCGCTTGCGAGGGTGAGTGTGCCAACCGTCCCACTGCAGGATTCCTGAAGCTGTCGAACGTCTTCAGAATGTTTTCAGACAAACTCGGACACAGAGAAACCGTCAGCATTTCCGTAAATAGGCCTTATTTTTCTAAAAAACAAACAATGGGAGTCACAATGTTTTGATATCATTCTCACATCACTACTTATTTTCAATGTGATTCGTGAGGGTGATTCAGTCCCTGTCTGAAATGCTTGTTGAGAAGCTGGAGGTGGAGCTCGCAGCTCAGAGGCTGATCTCTCTTCCCTGTGTCAGTGACTCTCTCCTCCCCTGACTGCAGCCAATCGTTGCGCTGTGGCCTCTATAAGAGCCGCTGCTCACAGTGCACTCGCCATTCACAGCTCGTCTTGTTTGCGGGAGTCAGAAGATGGCGCGGACAAAGCAGACGGCGCGGAAATCCACCGGCGGCAAAGCTCCCCGCAAACAGTTGGCCACCAAAGCTGCTCGTAAGAGCGCTCCGGCCACGGGGGGCGTGAAGAAGCCGCATCGCTACCGTCCCGGCACCGTGGCTCTCCGGGAGATCCGCCGCTACCAGAAATCCACCGAGCTGCTGATCCGCAAACTGCCCTTCCAGCGCCTGGTGCGGGAAATCGCTCAGGATTTCAAGACGGACCTGCGCTTCCAGAGCTCTGCCGTCATGGCGCTTCAGGAGGCCAGCGAGGCTTACCTGGTGGGGCTGTTTGAGGACACCAACTTGTGCGCTATCCACGCCAAGCGGGTCACCATCATGCCCAAGGACATCCAGCTGGCCCGCCGCATCCGCGGGGAGCGCGCTTAGACCCTCCGTCTCCACACTGTGTAGAACAAAGGCTCTTTTAAGAGCCACCAAATAGTCAAACGGAAAGAGCGGCCTCTCCAGCAAACTGTACACTTGACACTCCTCCTCAGCTTAACGCATCTACAGCCCAAACCACTGTTAAACCGAATGTACAGTAACGGCCGGTGCCGATACAGCGAGATCTGTCTTTCTGTGGATCGTGTCTTGAACCATCCACATGCGTTCATTGTGGGAGGAAAGCGCGTCGACGCTTCGGGTCCACGACCCTGCGTCAGCACGGACCCGAAACGTTGACTCGCTTTCCTTTCTCCATTGATGCTGCCCGACCTGCTGCTGTGCTTTGCTTTCAGATTTCCGGCACCGCAGTATTTTGCAGCGGTGTGTGGCTCACATGCATGCGGCATTATTGCAGCGTCTTCGACGCGACGCACAAAGAGGAACTCTGAACTGCACCCGGACTCCCCAAGTCATCCCAAAGCCCGCAATTATTATATCCGCCCATTCAACTTGATGTGGCGTAAGAGATATATAATAATAATAATAATCCTTGCATTTGATATAGCACTTTTCACGTCGGGAGGACGTCCCAAAGCGCTTCACAGAACACACTGTAAAGTGAATTGACTGTATATTTGTGGGCGAACGCAGCAGCCAATTGCGCACAGCAATGTCCCACAAACAGTCGTAGATTGAAAATGACCAATTTAATTTTTGTTTTTGGTTCTTTGGAGGGGTCATTATTAGGCTCTGTGTGGAGTAAGGAAACTTGCCCAAGGTTTCGCCCTCTGCCTGGAATTGAACTCAGGTCTCTCACTTGCAAAGCGAGTGCTCTAACCACTGAGCTATAGGACTCCACATGGCTGGTGCGGGCCCTGTCTCCGCAACTGCCGAGCGAGCTCCCTGCACTGGAGGTCGCTTTGCTGAAACGGCAAACGGCTCTTTCCTGGACCGTGTGGGTGGCTCTGAAAAGAGCCTTTGGTTGGATAGGAAAACCTCCGATGATTTACTTCTTCTGAGGATGGGAGGAGGTTTTCTTGGGCAGCAGCACAGCCTGGATATTGGGCAGCACGCCGCCCTGAGCGATAGTCACTCCCCCCAGCAGCTTGTTCAGCTCCTCGTCGTTGCGGACGGCCAGCTGCAGGTGCCGGGGGATGATCCTGGTCTTCTTGTTGTCGCGGGCGGCGTTGCCCGCCAGCTCCAGCACCTCAGCGGTCAGATACTCGAGCACCGCGGCCAGATAGACCGGGGCTCCGGCCCCCACGCGATCAGCGTAGTTGCCTTTACGGAGATGTCTGTGGACGCGGCCCACGGGGAACTGCAGTCCGGCCCGGGAGGAGCGGGACTTGGCCTTGGCTCGGGCTTTACCTCCGGTCTTCCCACGTCCTGACATTTTGACTAAGATTCCGACACCAACCAGAGCGGATTCTGTGCTTAAATAGGCTCCGAGCGTCAGGCCCTTCATTTCCTGCCCAATCAGATCTCCTCGCACTGCAGCCCCAGCCCCCTGTCTCTACGTCACATCGGGCTCTCAGCCAATCACAGCACAGAGGCTGGGAGGCTGGGGATTGGTTGCCAACCCCCGGGGTCCCATTGGGGAACCGTTTATGCTAAAGAGGGATGAACAAACTGCTTTGCTGGGATTGGATGGCGATAATATATAAGAAGACATCAGCCACTGCCCGACACTGTGTCGGTGGTATCAAGAGAGCAGAATGGCTGGTGAGGGCAAAACCGATGCCAAAGCCGCTAAATCCGAGGGCAAAGGAGCGCCCAAAAAAGGCAGCAAGAAAGCGATTCGCAAACCGCAGACTGCGGGCAAGAAGCGCAGGAGGTCGAGGAAGGAGAGTTACTCCATCTACGTGTACAAGGTGATGAAGCAGGTCCACCCGGACACCGGCATCTCCTCCAAGGCCATGAGCATCATGAACTCCTTTGTGAATGACATCTTCGAGCGCATCGCGTCCGAGGCTTCCCGCCTGGCGCAGTACAACAAGCGCTCGACCATCACCTCCAGGGAGATCCAGACCGCCGTGCGCCTGCTGCTGCCCGGGGAGCTGGCCAAGCACGCCGTGTCCGAGGGCACCAAGGCCGTCACCAAGTACACCAGCTCCAAGTGAGGGCTCACAGTCACTCCATCTACACACAAAGGCTCTTTTCAGAGCCACACACCACCTCTCCGACAGAGCTGTAGCAAAAGCGCCTTAAACTTGTGTGTGCACTGACGATATCCAGCGCCTTGGCTCGTCGTCCCGACCTGAAAGGCACTGTACCAATTTAGTCTGTAGCTCCACCGGTGCTCATTTCAGCTGCCCTCAGCGCCTAACCCTCTCTTGTCCTTCAATCCCAATGTCCTGAGAATGTCTTAAAGCAATGAGAGTAGTTGTGCGAGTACAAGATATCCCCCTGTTTTATGTCAATTAATTGCGGAGGCTTGTGATTACTGGGGACAAAGGATTTGTTGGGTGGGGAAGAGAGATATATAAGATATTCTACTGAAATTACATCAATCCGTGTAACGAGACAGAGTTGATAATTCACCTGAAGGAGCTTGTGCATGTGTGTGAGTGTGCATGTGTGTGTGTAGGTGTGTGTGTGTATGTGCGTGCGTGTGCATGTGTATGTATGTGTGTGAGTGTATATGTGTTCCCTGATTCTATCTCCAGCAACTGATATATAATATAATATGCAAATAGGAATCCTAATTTTTATTATTACGCAAAAATTGGCCAAGCCTGTTATATGGAGAACAGGTTTATTATAGAGAAACAAGTCCAGTTATACAGAGCACAGGCCTGTTATATGGAAAACAGGTTTATTGTAGAGACCAGACCTGTCACACAGAGACCAGACCTGTCACACAGAGACCAGACCTGTCACACAGAGACCAGACCTGTCACACAGAGACCAGAGCTGTCACACAGAGATCAGAGCTGTCACACAGAGATCAGGCCTGTCACACAGAGACCAGGCCTGTCACACAGAGACCAGGCCTGTCACACAGAGACCAGGCCTGCCACACAGAGACCCGGCCTGCCACACAGAGACCCGGCCTGCCACACAGAGACCCGGCCTGCCACACAGAGACCCGGCCTGCCACACAGAGACCCGGCCTGCCACACAGAGACCCGGCCTGCCACACAGAGACCCGGCCTGCCACACAGAGACCAGGCCTGCCACACAGAGACCAGGCCTGCCACACAGAGACCAGGCCTGCCACACAGAGACCAGGCCTGCCACACAGAGACCAGGCCTGCCACACAGAGACCAGGCCTGCCACACAGAGACCAGGCCTGTCATACAGAGACCAGGCCTGTTATTGCCGCAAATAAAACCAATTGCACAATAACAATCTCTTTGGTCAACATTCATGTGAAGCGAGTGCCAGCTCATGAATAACTTGATAGCTGACAATGCATCCATCAGAAAAGCAGGGACTGGGATGAAGCTCTAAAGAACACTGCTTGTGTGTGTTTGGGAGCAGTAGGAGAAGCTGTTTGAAATGACAGAGGAGCAACTTTGCTGGAATAGGTAAGAGTGAAACGAGTATTGGACAGAATCTTGAAGGTGGAGCAGAGCTGAGAGAAGGATCGTGTGGATAAATGTGGGAGACAACAAAGAGGGTCTGAGAACAAGGTGGCAGAAGAGTCCTGGTTGCAGATAGAGGTCAATGGCAATTTGGACCAGGGCAGTCGGTGCTGCGTACTGAATAGCCATTGCAATGGAGAAGCTCAAGCAGCTTTATAAATGCCTGAAGTTATTTCATGGAGACATTGAACCTGAGTCAAAAGCACCTCACACCCCACACCCCCACCATCCCACTCTGGTTTTATTCTCAGTGAATCACTTTGATACAGACACAGTGCACAGGTGGGTCTTTCATCAAAAGTGAAATGATGTGAAACAAAGTTGATACTTTCAGACATGAAAGGGGCAATATTAAAAGCAAGGTTGTATTTCAATGTGCACTGACTTGAGGGATGCCCTGCTTGGCTTCCTGAGAGGATAAGGAACACACACTGTTAATGCTAGACCAGCCAGCCGAGCTTGACAACAATATTTGGAGGGAACACCAGTCAGTGGGAACAAGGAATCTCCCATTCAGCTCCAGCAATGACCCACAACAAATCATGGATGTTATGAGAAGGATTATTGTCCAGGAAAGCAGGAGTAACTGTGTGCTAATTTCCAATAGTGATCTGGAATCTCCAAACTCCACCTGAACAGGCAAACAGCATAGTTCCTCCCCTTTCGATTGGTGATGGTGAATTCCCCCCCACCTTGTAGCAGGACAGATACCCCAGAGCTGTGGCAGCCACGGCCCCAGAACAAACTGAGGTTCAGTGGGGAGACCACCACTTGGACCAGACCCTGAAACTGCCACGTTGAGGGATTCCACACTGCTGCAGGAACAGGATGTCAGCCTTTACCCTGGACAGATACTGCAGGGCTGAAATACAGCCCAATTTGTTGCAAATGCTGAACACATTCAGGGAACTAACTTTAATCAACATCGCAAAGCTTTAGATTTTACACCAGGATTTCTCCAGGGTTGAAGGAAATGTGCCCAGTGTTTCGCTCTTCCAGGAATCCAAGCCAGGTTCTCTCACTTGCGAGGGGAGTGCTGTGGCCCTGGATTACGGTGGAACTGGAATACGCAATGCAAATTTGTGTGTCATCTGAATATATGTAGAAGAGGACCCCGTAATTTCAGATGACATCCCCAAGAAGGGACCATATTTATGAAAAGAAGGGGGCCAAGGATGGAACCCTGGGGTACACCGCGGGAGGAGAAACCGTTTGCTGAGGCGGGAGGAGAAACCGTTTGCTGAGATGAAATGGAGGCAGTTGGCTGAATAGGGCAGAGCTCTTCAATGTTCAAAAAGTAGCCAAATAATGCTTTGCTATTTGGTAACTCGGTGACATGGGGGAGCAAATATTTTTGCCTTTCAAGGTGAACCCTCAGCGGTTAAGAGAGGATACTTGGAGATATTGTTTGTGCAAATTATGATTGTAGACATTTCTATGTTGGAAAAGAGAACAATATCCACAATGTAACAAAACAGTCTTTGGGAGATTTTTTTAAAAGATTTTATTTTTATATTGAGATATTCTTCAATACGACCATTGCTCTAAACTATAGAATCATGAAAAATGTGAACCATTGAAGGAGGCCTTTCACACAACTGTGCTTGTATTAAACACCTCCTTCAATGACTGTTGCAATGAGTTCCATCACATTCTCCAGCTGCTTCCCCCACAGCCTTTTGTATTACTGTTGCAGATATTTATCAAATGCTCTCATTATGAAATTTGAAACCGCCTCAGCCATGGTTTCATATTGGGCATTCCATGTCCGAACAGATTTCTGTGTTAAATCTCCCATCATTTGTTTCTGTTTTGTGATTCATAGTATGTATGTTTGAATAGTTTTAAGATAGTGGATGGCTTTCCACAATTGTCTGACATCTTTCTGACAAAAGTAAAATTATGCTATTTTGATCAGACACAAAATCTACAACCACAGTGATTTTATTATAATAATGATGACAATAATAATAATAATAATCCTTGCATTTGATATAGCGCTTTTCATGTCTTCTCAATGTCTCAAAGCGCTTCACAGAATATGCTGTAAAGTGAATTAATTGTATATTTGTTGGCGAAACGCGGCAGCCAATTGACCACAGCAGCGTCCCACAAACAGTCATGGATTGAAAATGACCAATTATTGTTTTGTTTTTTGGAGGGATTATTATTAGGTGTGTGGAGTAAGGAAACTTGCCCAAGGTTTCTCCCTGCCTGGATTTGAAGCCAGGGGCAAGGCGAGGGCAATAACCACTGAGCTACAGGACTACAGTTCATCATAACTTCAAAGTTTATCGACATGTATTAATTCACCTGGAATAAAGGTTTTATTTTCTCTGATTTCACATCAGTTAAATTAATTTGCACAAATATTATCTGCCAGTTTCCTCTCTTGCAGGTTTACACCTGAGCTTTCACCCTGAGAGACAGAAATATCTGCTTCCCCTGTGGTCAGCCTCGGTATTGCAGCCCGGAGACTGGCTTCCTTATCTGATGGTAAGATCTTCCAAACCCCACAAGACAGCAGGGCTGTGGAGGACAGCAGGACAGCAGGTTGTGTTGCTTTGAGTTATATAGAGTTAACTCTCAAGTTAATGCTGTATTACTCAAAGCAACACAAAGGCCTGTGAGGATAAAGCACAATAGTGGAAACTTGTTGCATTTATTTACTAATAAATGCTAATGCCAATATATATTTAATGCAACAATGGTTACTGGGCTCATAATTAAGCAGAATAGTCCCAGTAAAGAGAAATCCAATTCAAATACAGTTCAGAATGTCTGTCTTGTCTCTGTATAACAGGTCTGGTCTCGGTAAACTGGCCTGGTCTCCAGATAACTGTCTGTACCGTTTCAGGTAAATTTGATGTACACATAGCGGGCAAATAATATTTTGAGGTGAAAAGCAAAAGATGTTTAGTTGATATTTTTTATGGGGATATTTGCTCTTGACACACTTGGTCTTTGTCTGTTCCAAACAGTTTAGAAGCAGCGTTGGTTACTGGGCAAAGATATCATTGTTGTCTTTTACGAATGCTTGTTTGGTAACTAACACAGAGACGAAAACGACCTCCCTGTCGGCGATTTGAACCCCGGTCTCCCGCGTGACAGGCGGAGATACTAACCACTGGACTAACTCGGATTCACACCGACTCAGGTGCCAAGATGCTGCCATGGACACACGCCAAAGGTCCCAGTACCTGCTGTTTATGTCTATGTTTCTGCTCTCCTGTGACAGACACTCTGCTCACCCCAGAATCATTCGTTAGGTGCAGCTCGTTTGGGAGGGAATGGGTGGCTCTGAGAAGAGCCTTTGGGGGTTAATATCAGCAGAGGGGAGAAGTTACTTCTTTTTGGCTGGTGTTTTCTTAGCCGCCGGCGCTTTGGGGAAACGTTTGGCGGTTTTGCCGCTTGGTCTCTTTGAGGCTGCGGGCTTCTTTACAGCTTTCTTTACCACCGCTTTCTTTACAGGTTTTTTGGCCGATTTGGGCTTCTTACTCACGGCAGCTTTCGGGGTCTTCTTGACAGCGGGAGACTTGGCTTTGTGGACTCTCTTGGGCACAGATGGTTTCTTGGGTGAACTTGGCTTTTTTGTTGCAAGTTTCTTCCGTGGAGAAGCTTTCTTGGCGGCCGCTGCCTTCTTCCCCCGCGGGGTCGGCTTCTTTGCCGCGTTGTCCTTGTTGAGTTTGAAGGAGCCGGTGGCGCCGATGCCCGTGGTCTGGATCAGGATACCTCTGTCTGTCAGTCTCTTCAGAGAAGCCCTGACCTGGTGTTTGTGAGTTTCCGGCTTGTAGCCTTTGGCGTCCAGAGTCTTCTTGATGGCGACCACGGACAAGCCCCTGCGATGCTCAGCGCTCGCCACCATCTGCTTGATCTCCTCCATCAGGTTGAAGCCGGGTTTCTGCTTCGGGGCAACGCGCTTCTTCTTGGCGGCTTTGGGCGAAGCGGTGGCGGCTGCAGGAGGCTGGACGGCGGCGGGAGCAGTTTCAGCCATAGTCCCTGTGAGAGGCTCAGTGTGTGGAGCTGCTCAGGATAGTGAAGCCAGGCGGCGCCACAGCCACTTACAGCCTCCGAGCGGACGCGGCAGAGTCAGCCGCTGCTCAGCTTCCGGGTTTCAAATCTCTGTGTTTCTGTCGTTTCCAAAACTGATCGTTTGTCTCTAAACTCGTTTGTGCTGAGAGTCAACAACAGCCTTTTGCTGAAGTGCACAATCCGCTCTTCACTGAGAGACACTGCACAACTGAACTAAAGGCAGCAGCTTCCAGTTAAAAACGTTTGAATGTGGGATTGCCCGCGGATCAGCGCTGAATCCTGGACATATTGACGGCGACTTGAATGATATTCTCAAACCAAACAGAATCACAGCTTAAATTGTGGCTGTGATGTCAAGCAGAGGGTCGGGGCCATCCCGTCAACAGAAAATATTCTTACTTCTGGTGCTAGGGATTTGGAAATCCCGGGATGAAGCTGGACACACTAGCACAGTGACTGGAATCTGAGTCTGGCGCCTTTTTAACACAGAGCCGCTGACACTATCATTGAATCAGCGCCTTGAACTGGCAAACTATACCCCAGTCATTGAATTCTCAGGAGCGGATTTTCCTCTGTCCATGTTATGTGCTGCAGTCTCCCGGAGTTTGTGACTGTTTGGCAGCGCAGTGAGTGACAGGAGGCTCTGAGATAGGAGCTCGCCACAGTGTCAGTGTTCTCACAGATAGGACAAAGGAGAAAGGATTTCACTGGTTCTGTCTGTGTGCTCCACGGTTAATAGTAATAATAATAATCCTTGCATTTGATATAGCGCTTTTCACGTCAGGAGGACGTCCCAAAGCGCTTCACAGAACACACTGTAAAGTGAATTGACTGTATATTTGTGGGCGAACGCGGCAGCCAATTGCGCACAGCAATGTCCCACAAACAGTCCTGGATTGAAAATGACCAATTTATTATTGTGTTTGGTTTTGGAGGGATTATTATTAGGCTCTGTGTGGAGTAAGGAAACTTGCCCAAGGTTTCGCCCTCTGCCTGGAATTGAACTGATTGTTTAACTACAGAGATATAGATAGCAATAAAAGGCTTACATGGCGATTGAGGTCAAAGGGGAATATTCGCAGGCACATGCCAATCCTCTCCAGCTAGCTGAACAAATCTCGAGCATGTTTCATGACATAAACAGCTGCCTGAAAATAACATGGAATGACTTTGGGCTGAGAGCCATTCATTCTCCGTTTCTCTGCCGAGCACTGAATGTGTTACAGTATCAGCTGTGGCGGTGACTCCCTGTCAGGCCGTGTTACTGTGTGAATCTTTGGTTCACACTGAGACTCGCAGCAAATTCAAAAAGCCCGCCAGTTTCACTACGGTGACTACATTCTCCTTCCCATCAATAGCTACAACAGCGGGAAATATACAGCGGTGGAATGGCAAAACACAGCGTTGATCATTCGGCGAAAAATAGAAAGAAACTGAGAAGTTTCCGAGCTCGAGATTCTGGCTAAAATCTGGCAGTGACACAGACACTGAGCCTCATCTTATACCTTCAACCTCTAATATTCCATGTCTGTGCCTGTAACATGCTGGGAATTAAGGAGCATTTGGGTTATTTTCAGGGAAGCCACATTAACAGTTAACAGTAACTCTTTCTGGTCAGTGAGGTTGAATGGTATTTCCCGCGCACATTCCAGCTGGAGAGCTGCTTTAACATTACTGCTTGATGGGAAACCATGGGGTTTAGAGGTTCACATGGCATTTGAATTGGGGTTCTTTTGGTTTCCGGTTTGCTTTTGCGAAATTGTTTGAACAATTGGCAATTGTGGGAAACTGCGGGAGGAGCTGAGCTGCGGCAGCTGTTGTGTGTCTGTGTGTGTGTGTCACTGTGACCGTCTCCTCCCCTCGGCAGCTCTGCTCTGCCTTCCTCAGCCAGGTCGGGGCGCCCTGTATAAAAGCAGCCAGAAGCTGCGTGTCCGTCATTCGACTGCTGTTGAGTGGAGGAGAGACATGTCTGGCCGAGGCAAAGGAGGCAAAGGTCTGGGGAAAGGCGGCGCTAAGCGTCACCGCAAAGTGCTCCGTGATAACATCCAGGGCATCACCAAACCAGCCATCCGCCGCCTGGCGCGGCGTGGCGGAGTCAAGCGCATCTCCGGCCTGATCTACGAGGAGACCCGCGGGGTGCTGAAGGTTTTCCTGGAGAATGTGATCAGGGATGCGGTCACCTACACGGAGCACGCCAAGCGCAAGACCGTCACCGCCATGGATGTGGTGTACGCTCTGAAACGCCAGGGCCGCACTCTGTACGGATTCGGCGGCTGAACATCTCCTCAACGTCAAGACACAAAGAACAAAGGCTCTTATAAGAGCCGCCCAAGTGCTCATATCAAAGGCTGTAACTTCCAAACGAAACTCGTCTGGCGTCAGGCGTTTGTCCTTCACTATATATAATGTGGTCGCTCCAGCGGGAGCCCGAATAAGATTGTCCACAGACAAACCACAGCTTAGTGTTTCTGTATCCAACTTGTCATGACTTCTGTTACTATGAATCTCACACGGACAGCCTCCATGTTCCCGAAGGTTATGTTGCTAAGGAGCTGGAGAATTGGAAACCTTGAGCCACGTAGAATGAATAGAATAGTACGGCACAGAAGGAGGCCATTCGGCCCATTGTGTCTGCCGGCTGTTTGAAAAGAGCCACCCAAGTCAGTCCCCTGCTCTCTCCCCATCGCCCTGCAAACTGGTTCTCTCCAAATAATGATCGATTTCTCTCATAAAGTGGCCATCGGCGTCCACCAGCCTTTCACACAATGGATTCAAGATCCAAACAACTCCTTGTGTGAAAACATTTCTCCTCACCTCCCCTCTGTTTCTTTTAACTCGGTGTCCTCGGGTTACTGACCCACCCGTCAGTGGGAATAGTTTCTCCTTCTTTACTTTATCAAATCTGCTCCAAATTCTCCGCTTAACCGTCCCTGCTCCAAGGAGAATAATCCGAGCTTCTCAAGCCTCTCCTGATAACTGAAGTCCCTCATTCCTGGTACCATCCTGGTAAATCTCCTTCACTTCCTCTCCAGTATCTCGCAGGTTCCCATTGTTAGTGGGACCAAAGGATCTTGTGTCTCATGCCTCAGCTCTACAGCAACAACAAATGACACGGTCTTCAGACGGGAATTGAAGGAGGCAAGCTTGGGGGTGAAGTGGAGGGATTGTGGGGTAGAGTTCCAGACTGTGGGGGCAGGGATGCTGAATGCCTGACCACCAATGGGATATGATGAAATTGTGTATTGGGGTCTCAATGGCCTGTGGTGAGAGGCAGTGGTGGAGATGGGCAATGTTGCAGAGGTGTGGAAAGATGGAACAGTTCATGGCATGAATGAAGGGTTTGAAGGGTAGCTGAAGATCGAAAAGGACACCGAGGTTTCGGATTGGCTCCGTGAGGTGAAGAGTGCAGACATCAATGGTGGTGTCTGCATTACTGCCGATGTGTCAGCTCATCTTCCATGTTTTCAGTTGTTTTCTGACTTTGTCCCGACAGATAGTCCTGATATATGTTCATTGGCACACATACACACTGACTCACACACGTACATACCCATGCATACACACGTACACACATACTAACGCACTCACACACACATATATATATGCACATATATACCTACAAACGTACATACACACACACACACATGCACACTTACAGACACACACACGAAAACATACACACACACACACATTCACACACACTCACATACACACACATATACACACATGCACATACACACACATGCACACTCACACACACGTACGCACCCACACACATGCACGCTCACACACACACGTACAGGCAAGCAGGGCAATGGGAGAGCAGCACAGAGTGGGAGAAGCAAAGTGTGGGGTTGGGAGCAAGAACATTATCAGGCGTGGACGGCTCGGTTCGGGGCAACAGCCAAAATGTGCCCACAGAGGCCAGGAGCGAGCGATCAGTGGGACACGATCAGCACACGGTCTGTGGGTATATTCACACAACAGAGACACATAAATTTATCAAATCAAAACCCATTTAATATGCTGTTGAGTGATGCAGTATTGACAATTGTACATCTTACATTAAGTGCACATACTCCACACTCAAAAAATGAACACAAGGCAGAAAATCAGGATTCCTGTTTGCATATTATATTTCAGTTGCTGGAGACAGACACAGGGAACACTTCGGCAACAATCATACTCACTCTGGATAACTGGCCTGGTCTCTGTATAACAGGCCTGGTCTCTGTATAACAGCGCTGGTCTCTGTATTAGTGGCCTGGTCTCTGTATAAGAGGCCTAGACTCTGTATAACAGCGCTGGTCTCTGTATAAGAGGTCTGGTCTCTGTATAAATGGCCTGGTCTCTGTATAACAGCGCTGGTCTCTGCATAATAGACCTGGTCTCTGTAAGGCTGCTCTGGTCTCTGTATTACTGGCCTGTTCTCTGTATAAGAGGTCTGGTCTCTGTATAACAGCGCTCGTCTCTGTATTAGAGGCCTGGACTCTGTATAAGAGGCCTAGACTCTGTATAACAGCCTTGGCCTCTGTATAAGAGGCCTGATCTCTGTATAAATGGCCTGGTCTCTGTATAACAGTGCTGGTCTCTGCATAATAGACCTGGTCTCTGTTAGGCTGCTCTGGTCTCTGTATTACTGGCCTGGTCTCTGTATAAGAGGTCGGGTCTCTGTATATCAGGCCTGGTCTTGGAATAACTGGCCTGTTCTCTGTAAAACTGGCCTGGTCTCTGTATAACAGCCCTGGTCTCTGTATAAGTGGCCTGGTCTCAGTGTAACAGGCCTGATCACTGCACAGCTGGCCTGGTCTCTGTATAACAGCTCTGGTCTCTGTAAAACTGACCTGGTCTCTGTATAACAGCCCAGGTCTCTGTATAACAGGCCTGGTCTCTGTTTAACAGGCCTGGTCTCTATAAAGCTTGCCTGGTCTCTGTATAACTGGTCTAGTCTATGTATAAACGGTCTGGTCTCTGTAAACTGGCCTCGTCTCTGTATAACAGCCCTTGTCTCTGTATATGTGGCCTGGTCTCTGTATAACAGGTCTGGTCTCTATATAACTGGCCTGGTCTCTGTGTAACAGGCCTCGTCGCTGTAAAACTGGCCTGGTTTCTGTAAAACTGGCCTGGTCTCTGTATAACAGCTCTGGTCTCTGTAAGGCTGGCCTGGTCTCTGTATTACTGCTCTGGTCTCGGTATGACTGGCCTTTTCTCTGTATTAGAGATCTGGTCTCTGTATAAGAGGACTGGTCTCTTTATAACAGCCCTGGTCTCTGTATAAGTGGCCTGGTCTCTGTATAAGATGCCGTCTCTGTGTAAGAGGCCTGGTCTCTGTGTAAGAGGCCTGGTCTCTGTGTTAATGCTCTAGTCTCTGCATAACTGGCCTGGTCTCTGCATAACAGCCCGGGTCTCTGTACAACAGCACTGGTCTCTGTATAAGAGGCCTGGTCTCTGTATAAGAGTCCTGGTATCTATATTAATGCTCTGGTCTGTGTATAACTGGCCTGGTCTCTGTATAACTCACCTGGTCTTTGTATAACTGGCCGGGTCTCTGTAACACTGGCCTGGTTTCTGTAAAACTGGCATGGTCTCTGCATTACCGCTCTGGTCTCTGTATTACTGGCCTGGTCTCTGTATTACTGGCCTGGTCTCTGTATAAGAGGTCTGGTCTCTGTATAAGAGGCCTGGTCTCTGTATTACTGCCCTGGTCTCTGTATAACAGCCCTGGTCTCTGTATAAGAGGCCTGGTCTCTGGATAAGAGCCCTGGTCTCTATATTAATGCTCTGGTCTCTGTATAACTGGGCTGGTCTCTGTATAACTCACCTGGTCTTTGTATTACTGGCCGGGTCTCTGTAAAACTGGCCTGGTTTCTGTAAAACTGGCATGGTCTCTGTACAACAGCTCTGGTCTCTGTATAACTGGCCTGGTCTCTGTATTACTGCTCCGGTCTCTGTATAACTCACCTGGTCTTTGTATTACTGGCCGGGTCTCTGTAAAACTGGCCTGGTTTCTGTAAAACTGGCATGGTCTCTGTATAACAGCTCTGGTCTCTGTATTACTGCCCTGGTCTCTGTATAACAGCCCTGGTCTCTGTATAACAGCCCTGGTCTCTATATAAGAGGTCTGGTCTCTGTATAACTGGCCGGGTTTCTGTATAACTGGCCTGGTCTCTGTATAACTCACCTGGTCTTTGTATAACTGGCTGGGTCACTGTAAAACTGGCCTGGTCTCTGTATAACTGGCCTGGTCTCTGTATTACTGCTCTGGTCTCTGTATAACTGGCCTGGTCTCTGTATAACTTACCTGTTCTCTGTATAACTGGCCTGGTCTCTGTATAACAGGCATGGTTTCTGTATAACTCGCCTGGTCTCTGTATAACTGGCCGGGTCTCTGTATAACTGGCCTGGTCTCTGTATAAAAGGCCTCGTCTCTGTATAACTAGCCTGGTCTCTGTATTATTGCCCTGGTCTCTGTATAACAGCCCTGGTCTCTGTATAACAGCCCTGGTCTCTATATAAGAGGTCTGGTCTCTGTATAACAGCCCTGGTCTCTGTATAGCATCCCTTGTGTCTGTATTACCGGCCTGGTTTCTGTATTACTGGACTGGCCTCTGTATAACAGCCCTGGTCTCTGTAAAGCTGGCCTGGTCTCTGTATCACCGCTCTGGTCTCTGTATTACTGGCCTGGTCTCTGTATTACTGGCCTGGTCTCTGTATAAGAGGTCTGGTCTCTGTATAAGAGGCCTGGTCTCTGTATTACTGCCCTGGTCTCTGTATAACAGCCCTGGTCTCTGTATAAGAGGCCTGGTCTCTGGATAAGAGCCGTGGTCTCTATATTAATGCTCTGGTTTCTGTATAACTGGCCTGGTCTCTGTATAACTCACCTGTTCTCTGTATAACTGGCCGGGTCTCTGTATAACTGGCCTGGTCTCTGTATAAATCACCTGGTCTTTGTATTACTGGCCGGGTCTCTGTAAAACTGGCCTGGTTTCTGTAAAACTGGCATGGTCTCTGTATAACTGGCCTGGTCTCTGTATTACTGCTCCGGTCTCTGAATAACTTGCCTGGTCTCTGTATAACTCACCTTTTCTCTGTATAACTGGCCTGGTCTCTGTATAGTTCACCTGTTCTCTGTATAACTGGCCGGGTCTCTGTATAACTGGCCTGGTCTCTGTATAACTCACCTGGTCTTTGTATAACTGGCCGGCTCTCTGTAAAACTGGCCTGGTCTCTGTATTACTGCCCTGGTCTCTATATAACAGCCCTGGTCTCTATATAAGAGGTCTGGTCTCTGTATAACAGCCCTGGTCTCTGTATAGCATCCCTTGTGTCTGTATTACCGGCCTGGTTTCTGTATTACTGGACTGGCCTCTGTATAACAGCCCTGGTTTCTGTAAAGCTGGCCTGGTCTCTGTATTACCGCTCTGGTCTCTGTATTACTGGCCTGGTCTCTTTATTACTGGCCTGGTCTCTGTATAAGAGGTCTGGTCTCTGTATAACTGGCCGGGTCTCTGTATAACTGGCCTGGTCTCTGTATAACTCACCTGGTCTTTGTATAACTGGCCGGGTCTCTGTAAAACTGGCCTGGTTTCTGTAAAACTGGCATGGTCTCTGTATAACAGCTCTGGTCTCTGTACA